ACTATATATATATATATATATATATATATATATATATATATATATATATATATATATATATATATATATGTTGTTTTAAGTAAGGCTACATCTTTTAATAGTAGGATAAGCATATTCATTACGGAAAATTCTGACCAGGGTAATATTCCTGAAGGTAACTTTATCTTTAAGACTAAAATCGTATTATTTATGGAAGTGCTTTTGTGAAAAAAATATTGTTTTTTAGTGTTTATTTTTAAAAGTGTTTTCTTCAAGCAGCATTTTATGACCCTCAAAATATGCTACATAGGTATATGCTACATTCACTGCCTATTGGTTTGATATGATAAAATGTTTTGTTAAATATGTTTTTAAAAATCTTAAAAAAATAACTACCCTGTAACATACTTGAACTTGAACACTTATTAATTTACTAAATATAATACGCATACAGCTAGAAAATGGCTGGATTGATTCCCTTCTAATGCTTTATTATTACTGTATTTAATTTTCTACGAGTCAATATATAACACGATGAATTTGTTTTCTAAATTCATATGTTTTTGCGGGGCATTGAGCCGCACAGGTTCACTAGTTTAATTTATTTTGTGTTCCCACTAGCCTTTAATGATCTCATGTCAATTTTGTTCCCATTGTCAGTTATGGCAGTACATATTTTATCTGCGGAAGATTTAAAGAACACAAGATTCAAATCAATTTATTCTGAGATCTCGTCCCATTTTTTTTAATCACTGGTAAAAATAGCTAGTATTATTCAATGATAAAACAGATACAGCTGAAACAAACTGACTTACACGAGTGCACAAAGATTCTTGTTTAAGTACTGTAAAGATGTGTATACTTTTATAGCTGGTATCCTTCTTATGTGCTTTACCTCTAAAATACCCAGTTCAATCAGAGAAAATTAAAAACTGTTGAGACGATAACACGGTTTTCATCAAATATTTATAAGTTAGATTATTAATTTTGTAAACTAAGATTAAATTTATTATGATCCTCTATCAATAATGTTATTTTAACTAGAGTAAGCTACAACCAAACGACGTTTGTGCAAACTTGACACATTTCTGTAGCTATACATTGTCACTCTTGATGTTAATCGGTGTATCTTTAGCGGTGACATTTGTGATTGATCAGGTAGTGTTCAAATAGGTAATGGGAAGCTTGACCAGTTTCTTCAGGATGTTCTTGAAGTTTTTTCTTCAGAAGACTGATGTTGAGCTCAGATTCGCTGCATTATTTCTCTCACGTCTTCTGAAGCAGTCTGTGAAAGGGCTCTGGCCTCGTATAGAAGGTTAGATAGCCTTAACTAAGGCTGATTTGTCTTAATAACGGAATTCTCATTAATGTTTGCGGTAGAAATACACCTCGTATCATCAAGGAGGACCTTGAGGCTCTTATCAGTATCATACTTCAGTACAGTAGAGTGGGTGATGTTTCACCGTTTCAATTTCCTCTGAATATACAATGAAGTAAAAAAAGTGTAAACAATGTAGAGATAATGTATAGCAATTATGTAAATAGGAGTATGTGGTTAATAGCTGCTGATTTTATATCCTTGTGTTGTTTGATGATGTGGGAATTCGACGTCTTTGGTGCTTATAAAATGAGTTTACTAAATTATTATAGTAATCGTTGACATAATGATGTTTTACCTTTACGGCAATTAAAATAGAATCTTTACAACAAATTGTATGGATTATAGTAAAATCATAAATTCTAATAATATGTATAAGACGAATGATGTAGATAGATCACCGATTATCCTCGAAGTGTTATTAGGTGTTATTTTTCAATTATAATTACACTGAAAAATATTTCTTAAATGTTTTATCATTAAAAGTTAAGTGACCTTAGATCAACTATCATTGATAACTACATGGTTTTCTTATGTCCTTGGTAAAATTCTATACCAAATTAATTGTATTTTATCTGTGATAGAACATCAGGATGCTCCATTCATCTGTCAAATTCATTTGTATTTATTCTTTTATAGGCATCCATGTGAAAATCCTTTTTAGGTAAATCTACCCTTTGGGTTTATTTTTGACGGTACCTACCAACTGATTTCCATACTTCATAAATCATAATAATGAAAATCTGCGACCCAAGCTAAGCAACACATTTGTCGATGACGATGAATTGAATCGCATAATAACGAGGCTACTGTTTTTTTTTTTTTTTTTTTTTTTTTTTTTTTTTTTTTTTTTTTTTTTTGTGATTGTGTTTTAACGCTACGATCCCAGTGTTCCCGATCCCAGTTCTAGAGAAAGTCCTGGAAAGTCTTTGCAGATTCCCTCTTTTTGAAAGCCTTGTTGGCCTTCCCGTGAAATGGAGATTCGACCGTCACTAAACACTTTCTAATGCAGAGATGACTCGGGTTTTATGGATGATTCGGTTTGGCGACATTCATCGCCCATTGCATTTTTATCAGATCATAGAGGTGGTTTAGAAGTATATTTTTCGTAGACTAGTTCCTGGGTGTTTACTGTAGTGATATATTTTAAAATATATTATATATCCATTCAAATGGAATACAAACTTGTAGGGAAATCAGATTTTACGAATTTCATTGAATCAATTATTTAGTTAACAAATTAAACATACACAGTCAGCAAAGATGAATTAAAAGTATCTTCTCTATAATTACTTCTCCAATCGTCTAGGACAATATTTGAAAGTGTAAATTATTTCTAACAGTTTCACAAACACTGATCGCTACTTTTATTGAGTCATTAAAGCGACCGAAAGTGTTACACAAGGGCCTAGCACTTCTCATTTACCGGTTACGTCATCGCCAAGTGAAAGGTATCGGTAGCTGGAAGCGGTTTTGAAAACATTGTCAGTTTAAATAGACCTCTTTTGTCAGTCATAATGAACATCCCTGAAGAAAGCGAAGCCTTCACAGCTTTAAACTTCAAATGACTCTAGGACTAGGTTTAAATAACAATTACAGGTTTGGTGTTGATAGCTGCTCATGCTGGCCATGATCGTATGTTAATGTATTTAACGCTATCTACTAGAAACTTCAAATCGTGGAAAGTTACTGGACCCCGGTTTGATTATGGTAGAAATCTTCCTATTTGGTGGTTACGTAATGTTCAATATTCTTGAGTAAATTGTTGAGTAATGTGGATGTTTTGAGGTGTAATATAGTTTACAGATTCAGAACTTATAAATGCAGTACTTATATTATTATATGCGCAAAAACTGATATGCAGAGAATACAGTTTTGAACAGAAAAGTTCAAGTTGCTTTGCCATTACTGTACGATTGCTAACTCAAATGTCAAAGTCAGGGTCACATGGCACCCACTTTCTTACTTTTAACCTGACAAGTTATAGATCCTAGTATTATGAAAATTTATCAAATCATTCAAATGTTTAAAACATACAAACGTGTATTATATAAAATCATGATATCATGATTGTATTGTATTGATTGTATGATTGTATTGTGCTGTATCATGATTGTAGCAATGGTATGAAGTTTTAAATATGTAATCCGTAATAAGTACTCATTTTTAAGTGTATTTGTTTAGTGGTTTGCAATGTGGTTGTTATCTCACTTCCAACGTTTCATATTGCATTTATAAAATACCAATGACAGCCAAAATGATAGAGTCATAAATAATATTATACATCAATAAGTAAAAATGTTTTTAGTTATACGTTATATTGCTTTTATAACTGTAATATTTTTTAACAGTATGATTAATTTTTTTTAGTCTAATAAATACCAAGACTTGAATAGCAGATCAATACTGTTTAATTTTAAAACATTTCAAGTTCAAGTCATTGCTTATTGGTAATAAAGGTGGCATTCTAAAAACTCAACACGATGTGGTGCTTCGCTCAAAATTTCATAGAAACTAATAAATATTTTAATTACACATCATTAAAATAACTGCAATGAAAAAGGAGGAAATTCGTTCATATCCTAAAGTGGTTATCGACTCCTATGCCAAATAGAGTAGAAGAAACTGAGTAGAATAATGACTGATTAATGTGGTGTTGGCATCCAATCTATCTTCATGTTGATTTAATTACGGTTGAAATTATTTATATAACGATTCTCTCAATGGGTTTCCAAACAAAATATGAAATCCCCTTACAATATTAATAATTATGAATACTGGTATGTAGCATTTTTGTTAAATAATGTGACTAAACAAAAGATTTATTTCCATTATCTCTAACCCACTAGGCATGGCAAACCATGCAGGAGCATTTAACAAATTTTTTATTTGTCAAAGATCAAATGGGAAAAATAAACACTGTCATGTTAAAGGTAATTAAAAAATAAACATTTGAATATTTAGAGTATCTTTTAAACCTCTTTAAAATCACCTCATCGTTGGATCGTTCAAATTCTAACTTTTCATACAGCCTATATCCTACATTTTCTATACGTGTCCTACAGAGATTTACTTATAACTGTAGCTCTAGCTACCCAAGTTGGTACTCGCTTCGACTCCAGTCGTACTGCTGACTCCAGAATTCCCTATATCTTCCCTTTTCAGTTTTCTCAGGTACTTTCTGGTCTGGTCTTATCATACCACCCCTGGCCTTCCTGCTCGTCTACCCTTGGGATTATTTAACAATGTTTTTATTACGAGGCCGTCCTCATTCCATACATGTCCAGCCCATCTCATCCTCCTGCCTCTCAGCCATAATGGCTCGATTTAAATTCAACTGCCTCCATTCTCTGTTATGCTTAATTCTCTCTTTTTCAAAGAATCGTTTATACATTTTTCGCAATATTTTGTTCTCAAATCTATTATAAGCTTTCCTCATTTTTAGTACCCAGTATTCTTAACCGTACAATAACAATTCGTTATCAAAAGTACAAACACATCCCTAAAACAACGTAGCCCGCAGCGTCAGCCTCTGCACTGTATAACTCGTAGTAATAGTGACGGAGTACCACAAGGGCCTGCGCCAGGACCGATGTTATTCCATGTTTGTGAAAGGCGGCCTCGCCTGTAGCTAAACAATCACCAGCTACCAGTCAGTGTGGAACGTTCTATTGGGTGTGACAATACGAGTGAACGATTTGGATAACGATTCTTTCGAGTGAGTTTGTTGTATATACGTTATAAATAAATGTTTAATATAACTTAAATCTGGTCTTAGTCTGGAAATTAGTGTGTTTTGTTGTTAGTTTGTAAATGATTTAGGTATAAAGCTTTAAGGAGTGATTCTCAATATTCTCAATGTCATCATTTTTTAAACTTATTTTCGAAATATGAAACATTTGCATTTTAGCTATTGGTACATGATCCTAACGAGTTTCTGCGAATGGATTTAAAAATACAACTAATAAGAAATAAGAACTACAAAATATTTTTAAAGGAAAGTAGTTTAACCAAACCCATTAAATCTGTGTGTACATTTAAGATTGAACCCACCCCTTTTGCACTGAAGTTCTAACCACTAGACTAACAAAATGCTATGTATATTCATTGTCAGGCAAACGCACCATCTGTTTCATCAAACCTCATTTCTCTGTGCATTTCATCCCTAAAAGGCAGCGGCCACAAGCCACTCTACCTCACTGTGTATACATCGGGTACTCAGCCTCTTGCATTATTTCAGCGGTCTTTGCAGTCAAGGACCTCTAAAAATGGATGCTTGCTTCTCAAGCCTTTGTCGCGTGAAGGACGACCTCGCGTCCAGACTTTACGCCAGGGGCGCTCGCACAATAGCTTTAATTAGCTTTATCTACACAAGATGCTTTGATCCTTTATTTACTTCGGTTTTAAGCGCAATCGATTGTATATATAACAATAGAGTAGCTTACGAATCCGTTTGGAAAAACAACTTTGAAATGATTGACAGTGTAGGTAGCTGTAGGCCTATTATACATTCAATCAAGAAAAACGATTTAAATGAGTGTTTTGGATACCGTACAACAAACTGTTTTACTTAAAAAGTAAGGAATCTCTCATACCATGAACACAAAGACTTCAGAAAAATACCCACTCCTGAAACAGGTGATAACTGTTCCTGAATAGATTTGCTGTCTCAATTAGTGAACCACACAGTTTTACAAGGACTCTAAACAATCAAATGGCTGTTTATCACATAGCTTCAAACTTTGGCGGGATTCAATGGCGAATCTCCAAGAAAAGGAACCCATTTCAGACAACAGACTAGCCTCTCCCAAATCGGTTAGGAAAAACACGTTGCTTTTTGTAAAAACGTCAGCTTGAGCTAGCCAAACCAAAGTTAAACGCGTAATTTGTTGTATTATTGCATAACACCGTTTTTCTTTGTTGTGTTTACCATAAACTTTATAAGATATGTATCTGATATACCTGTTTTCACCTGCAGAAAGAATGAGCTAAGGGACAGGGAGAATTCTTCTCGATATGGTTTGACCGGCTAAATCTATACTGGCCTGAAAGTAGTTTTCCCCTGACTTAGAGACATTAAAGTTAATTCTCTCCATAGTATAATCCAGCGGTGATGCATTTACCTGAGGTTCTTGTAGAAAAAGAAACCGCAAAGAAAATTACACCCGAGTTACAACCTTTTTGCCAGTAAAAACTGCTGGCCTCCACACACGAACGTGCTTCCTGACACTTTCTACTTCCAAGGTCTCCCGCGAGGTGCGCTGGTGGACTCCGAGGGAAATTGCATCCCTGCTAAGTGCCACTGAATATTCCAATTCAGAAAATGTGTGACTTCTAAAAAAAATATTCTTGAAACTTATTTAGAACTACGACATTCCTCTCATACAAAATGCTACAATCTGTGTTTGCCTTTTCACAAGATTTAACAGACATGTAAAATAATTAAATTGATATACACTTCGCTTTTGGTTGAAAATAAAACTACGTAAATATGTATCAATGTATAGTAATGCGATTCAACCGTATACATCACCTAAGTGTACAGCAGTGTATCACGTTAAGTCAAAGATGACTTTTAATCCGTTACAAAACCTGAATTCAAGGTTAAGAACTCTCCGTTGTGGTTTCTGTAGTTGAGGAGGTAAATGTTAATTGAGTAAACAATGAATCATCGCTTGAAATATGTAATCATACTAATATTATAAATGTGAAAGTTTGTGTCTTTGTTTGTTTGAAGTTCAATCACGCATTAACCACTGGACGGATTGGGCTGAAATTTGGCATGATGATAGCTCACATTCCCGATTAACATATAGGCATATTCTTTGACCAAAAATCCTTTCGGGCTCCGCCCCAGTGGCTCTGCAGTTCGCCATGTTAATCTTATGAGTATCTATACTTATTTAATACGCAAGCAGATTATTTGTGACAATTACTCCTCCGAAACTACTGAACCGATTGTCATGTTTTTTGGGTCATTGGAAAGAGCGTAACGAGAAGTTGTACAGGAAACTTTCTTTTTAGGGAAATAATGAGAGAGTGAGGCCCTGGAGCCCTTTAAAGTTTTGTATTTCTCCATAAGATTAACATTGGAATCAACAATTTTTATGAAACTCCAGCTGTTGTCAGAAATCAAAAGTGAGAAGAAGAGCGTTAATTGTATACAGTCAATAAGTTTGGTACAAATATTTGCTGACTTGGTTGAAATTCGTTTTAAAATAACGCCTGTAATACTTAGCAATTGCTCGAATTCGAGCAACAGGGACACTAGTTCATATTTAAAAGGAATTAAAGAACTTAGTCAGCTGTTTCAACTAAAAAGGTTGGTTCTATGATATGCAAAAGCATTAAAAAGTTATAAGATTTACCAACAGGGTGCAGCACTATTATTTTTTAGCATTTATGATAACAGCTTATTGTAACTATAAGCAGCAGCAAAAAAATGTGATACGCAATGAGAACTGTCAAAGTAGGATTGTTTACAGTTATGTTTATGTTTTTCATTTCATGAATAATTTGTGATATTTTGCAAACTTTTAATAATTTATTTTTCTCTATTGTTTAGGTGAAGTGGTAGAACATTATGGCTATGGTAGATGTGTAATACTATGGTATACCGTAAATTTAAAAAAGAAAATTCTATCAAACTGTGTCCTCCCCCATTGCAAATGCAAAGCTCAAGTATAACTGCAATAAGTGTTTTATACTTATATGCCAACCCCGTACGAAGGACGGGTACTCTGCTAGTACTACAATATGTGGCGGACACTCATTCCACATCTATGTAAAATACGCTAAGATAAAATTCGTATGTACTCATTTTTACAAAACAAAATTAATTCAGTTTAGTGTATTCAGTTGTCTTCTGTGCTTCGGCTAATAAGCTCAACTTAGGATAAGGAGAGAATATGTTTCATGATCATGAAATCCACTCACGTAAACTCCAGTTTATTCATTGTGCACTTTCATAGTTCTTCTGAAAAGGTGTTGAGTTGCATGTCTGCGGTTGGTGTCGTTTGCAATAATATACCTAATGCATTTCGCTACAATACAAGTAGTTAATTCGCTGTAAAAAGAGTGTGTGACTTGTAATACCATTATTTTTAAATAAATTTTTTATGAATACAATATTCAGTTTTTTTTAGTTTAAACCAAGTCGTTTGACATAAAAATCCGCAAAAAATAGTCCTGTGTACATAAAAGAATCGTATATTTCTGCTACATCTTAAAATGTATTTCCTTTTCATAAGTATTGGGGTTAAGTTGTGGGTGGATCCTTAACTTGTTCACAACACTTGTATTACATCCTTTTACAATGTTTCTAACTGTAATTCAAACTTGTTTTTAGTAATGTTTTCTACAAGCTCCAATGTAAAACGTCTCACGGTCATTTCAGTTTTAATATAGAGTTTTCCAAAGTCTTTCCAATCTAAACTTATATTTGACATAAGGATGAAACACTACAAAGCTATCAAATTACATCAGTAATTTGTGAGTTCACCTTACAACATGTCCCATCTCTAAGTCTGAGGTCTATCTCAGATCCACGGACAGACATGACACTCTACTCTAGCTCAACATGTGACCATCAAGAGAAAGCTAGAAAAGCTTCCGTCTGCATCAAACAGAGAGATATCTGGACGGATAAGTATAACATGGGATGGCACTCAGTCTTCAAAGGTTTGGCCTTAGCAAGGGATTGTTGTGACAAAACACATTTAAGTTGTGACTGGACGATAGACGTTCAGATAACATAGTCATCAATATGTCCGTGTTTACAGATCTGAAAAGTTAAAACGTTAAATAATTTTTCTATAATTGAATTTAAAATTTTGTAACACTTTTTTAGTTACACCCCGCAATAAAACCATATTTTACCGATATTTAGCCTAGGAGTACAGAATGTACTGTTACTCAAGGTGTTCTTATCATAACTGCGCTAAATATGGGAATTAATTTAATGAACATCAACATAGAGATGAGTTTTAATACTAGTTTCGTGGCCTTCCTCTCAATGAAGTCACTGAATATTTTATCCTTGCCAGACTATGTATTTCTTTTCTAGTAAAGAATTGCCTTTACAGTTTATTATTGTCATTACCAATTTGCCGTGGTTATTTAAGCAAATCTCCTAGCTTGTATCATGCTTGTGAATGCCTCGTGTCACGTGAAGACTTTTCCAGTAAACAAATAACATTTAGGGTTATGCCCATAAAACGTGGTATTCGTGGGTTTAAAACACGTTCGCTACTGAGCGTCGCATATATGCGACGCCGCGGTCATTGCCACAGACCGAGGTATACATTTCAATCTTACACATAGACCGGCTGTCACTTGGATAACAGTACACACAGACCACGGGCGAAAACCTGTAAAACAGTGATCATTTACATTGTAATACGCTACAATAATACGATACAATGGTTTTTTTTTGTATTTTTTATAACCTTTTGTAATGTCGCATATTTGTGACGCCCGGTCTACAGCGAAAAAAATAGTGAAAATTATCATAGTTTTCTTGAAATAGACTAAACGTCGCATATATGCGACGGCTCATTTTTTTGTGTTTTAAGGTGAAAGTAAGTAAAAAAATAAACAGATTATTCAAGAACAGTTTATAACTGAACAAATATAAAAGCTACATAGGATAATGCAGCATACATACTGCATACATACATACACTGATGCAGAAAAGTAAAGACCAGTTTTTCCTACTAT